AATCTGAAATTTCCAAATTTATTATTCATATGCTTTAAGGATTTTGAGTGGTATAATCTGAATATTAAATCTCTTGAGTTGTTCATTGATTTAGAGATTTATTGTTAAAATTCTGAATCTGATTTTTCCATTTACAATATGATATTTTCTGTTTAAATCAGATTTCTTGGTGTCCATTGATTAGAAAATTAATTGTGTAGTATCCAAGCTCATTGGTGCATTAATTTTAGAATTTTGATACATATGTCATTGGTTTAATTTTCTGCATATGGCATAAAAATGTGGAGCTTAGTTTGATATTACCGTGATATATTTGGTGCGATATAACACTATATTTTTGGGTTATTTCACTTGTTACAGTTCTGAAAATTTTTGTATTAGTTGTTAAAGTGGAGTAGTTGTATGCTGTAAATCTGTCTTAGGTGTGTGGGTGCAACCGTGTGGATTGGTGACCTTGTTCTTGGCTTGAGAGTGTGTCTCAAGGCCTGGAGCCTCAAGAATCCACTAGGGAGAGTGGAGGTTTTGTGTGAGAGGAGTTGGTGAACTCCGTAGGTTCGGCTTGAGAAATTTCTCAGAGCTTGGAGCATTGTAAGCACTAGGAAGATTTTGATATTTTGTTTGATTGCTTATATGACACGTGTTTGTAAAACAAGTATACTTGTGATAAATAAAATATCTGCAGCGACTTCAGCCTGGACGTAGCATCCTACTTAGGCTCAGTGGGTGTGAACCAGGATATATCTGTGTCTTTGTCTCTCTGATTTAATTTCTGAATATTCTATTTTTGAGACAAAAAGTAACACCGCTTCTGGTTTGTTATTATTTCTGTTGTAGCAATTTTCTATTATATTTTTAGAGTGCTGTAGTACCTTACAGATTGTGATATAACTGCTGTAGCACTTAAACTATTTTCATGTATTTGAAAAGTAATCATTTTCTGTTTTAAGTAAGAAAGGTTGTTGTTGTGTTTGCTTTGTAAAATAAAAGGTCAGGTACATTTTCTATTGATATACATCATATAGAAATCATTTTTGGCATATAGGGACCTAAGGTAAAATTAGTAAAATTGTCATAGTCGTGTGACTGTTATCTGGACTGAACTTACAAAATAAATTGATAATTGTTAATCTTGTTGAGTTGGTGTGGTGATTGAGCTTAATAGTTCAACTTTGTCTAGACTTTACAGATTTAAGGATCTACTAAGAAAAAAAATTGAAAAATTGGAAACACTTATTCACTCCCCTCTAGATGTTCTCATGCATCCTGTTGTAAAGAGCCACTTGCCCAACACTAAGAGCCCAAGTAAATTTCACATCGCTTGGATATTATGAGGAAGAAGAGATATTCACTCTTGAAAAAAATTGTCTTTTGATTATAATTTGGTCAACTTAATTGGCTCATGACTTTGAAGCATTTGCATTCTTAATCCTAATTGTTTTTTCTTTTGAAAACAAAAACCAAATCTTGACTTAGAAGTGCTTTAACGAATCAAATGCATACACACACACACACACACACACACACACACACACCTCATTGTTACCAATGAAGGCATTGCCATTACATGTTAGTATCTCTCACTTTATACATGAAAAGCATGATGTGTCCGTCCATATTGTAGGTGGAATATGATACCAGTACTGCCCAACATTGACGCAGTGCTTAATATAACACCTCGTATTTTTATAAATGTATTATTATATATGAAATATGGTTTAAAGGGTATGATTAGTGAAAATCCTGAGATTGGGGTTAAATTGCATAAGAAGGGTAAAATGGTAATTTACCAAACACGTAACCCGAGATAAGAAAAATTGAGTAGAAGGTCTCAAATGGTAAAAATAATGCCAGAAATGGATTTAGGACGAAAAATTGAGTGGATAGGCAAGTTTCAGAAAATTTGATGAATAGTGATTTTTCCGGTGTAAAATACTGCGGTATAACTATACCGATAAGCGTGAAAATATGATTAGTATATTTAGGAAGTAAAAATATGACGTGAACGAGAAAAATACGTAGGTTATGAATTTGTGGGTTAAATTAGGTGATTCAAGAAAGTTAAATGACGTGTGAGACCCACTTAAGTGACTTAAGTGATATAGAGACTAAGAAATCAAATTTTTGCATTTTTCTCTCTCCTCTCTTTCTTCTCCCTCACGAGGTCCTTCACCATTTATAGGGCAAGTGAGCTTTTCAAACACAAACCTTGATTTCTAGCCATTTTTGAGAGAAACTTTCAACTACCAAGTTGTTCCCCTTGAGATTATGAGTGACTTTCATGTAGAGTGCACCTTGTGGAGAGCATTGTGGAGGGAGAAAAGCCCATAAAACAACCACGAATTTGGTGGTATTTTGGAGAAATTTTGGGGATTTTTGTGTTTATTTATTGGTTGAAGACCATTCCCTTGGACCCTAAGGAGCTATTGGTGGTAAGTTTTCCCACTCTCATGGAGTTTTTATTGAAATCATAAAATTAGTGAGGGTTTTGATTATGTAAGTTGAGTTGTGATAGTTAGGATCATTAAATGATATGTCTCCTTTGGAATTAAATGCTTAGAATGACAAATAATGATGATTGATGTAATAAAAATTATTGTGATTTGAGAATTTTAACTTAGACGATTTTGTGATGAGATTTCAAGACTTTATGAATTGGCATGATGATGGGATTGGATAATTGAATTATGGAGCATTAGTATGAATTAATTAGAGGATTAAAGGATGTGTATAAGTGTTAAATTGAATTGAAAGTCTTGGTTTATGCCTCTTGAAGAATTCGAACCATAGAAGGAATTTAGAGAAAAATAATGTGAAAAATGTGGTTTAATCAATTATTGATGTTTTAGTGCATAATTGGTGGATTGTAAGTAAGTTTGATGAGTAAAGTGGTTGAGTTAGTTGATTAAATTGTGAGATGACCTTTGGGCCTAAGTGATTATAATTAGTTATAATTGTTGTGAAATTGATGGATTGTTTGCAATTGATTGATGGTCATGGTTGTTGATCATATAGGTTACCTTGCACGGACGCAATAGAAGCGGATTAAGCTTGGAGCTTACGTGGAAGAGCAATAATTGTGGAGTTAAGGTAAATCTTTGGAACTTGGGTTTTAATTCCTTGTGTGCTCCACCACCACACTTAGTGGAAGGTGATGGTTGAATTTTTTGCTTTTTGACATTGTGTGAATATGTATGTTCATGCATTATTGCTTGATTGTGTGACATGCTTGGAGCATGTTGTGTGTGAAATTTTGTGATATCTGGCCAGTAGATGTGTGTGGTTTGGACTTCCGCTGGAGATATCCTTTGGGGATTCCGGTCGGGTTTTGCCGTGGGGTTGACTTTGGGAGCGGTACCAGGATGATCCAAACGTGGGACTTCCGCTGGATAGGGCTCATCAGGGAGTTCCAGTTGAGTTTTGCCATGGGGTCGTATCATCCATGGGAGAGGCACCAGGAACCTTCCTGAGAGTTATATGATAGGGTCCTTGAACGGAATCCTTATGTTGATATTCTTGGATTTTTTCCCAGTTGTTGTGATTTTCTTTGTTATGCATTTTACTTGATGTTATTTGTTGCACATTGAGTGAGCCATGGGGTGGAGTGATCCTTTAGTAGTACCCTTTATTTACTGAGATATATTTGTATATCTCACCCCGCGTTTTGGGACATCATTTCAGGTTATAGTGAGCATGGAGGATCTTCGGGCAAGAGGCCCGCTTAGTGGATAAGCTGAGCATGATGTGCATATAGAGAGCATGACATTTTGGAGGACTATATTTGATGCACATAACATAGTGTTTAATATTTTAGACTTAGGTTATGAACATATTGCATGTTTATATTGTTATATGCTAAGTCTTTGTAATTCATGTATATTTTATGCATTTGGATTATATTGGTATTTTGGTGAGTATGAGACTTGTCCATGACCACACATGTTGTACTTTGAGGCATTTGAAGACTTGTGATGTAAAATTGGTCATTTGTGGCTTAAATGACAATGGAATTGTAAAACATGGTAATTGTTGCATTGATTAATGAATATGCATGATGGAAGGGCCTGGAGTCTACATTAAATCCTGTGTAAGTGGTATAATGAGTATTAAGGTGTTAGGAGTGGATTACATCACCCTTTTTGTGTTTTAAAAGCTGTCAAAATGTGTTTCTGCAGTAGAGGAATCAATTCCCACTTGAAAGGAATCGATTCCCAACATCACAGTGGCTGAATTTTACGTCCTCTGCTCCAGGGAATCGATTCCCTTTGGGTGGAAATCGATTCCTCAAAACAGGGGAGTCAAATCTTGGCTACTGTCTGTTACTGTAGCTGCTGGGAATCGATTCCTGGCTGTTGGGAATCGATTCCTACTATACAAAATTTTGAAAATGAGTCATTTACAACCTAGATTAAATGGTATTACTGGTAGGGGTTGTAATTAATAAATTTTATGCTTCCGCGAGTTTTGCATTTATAATTATAATGTTGCTTTAATTGATTACAGAAATTGTTAATGTTTCAAGAAAAGAATGTAATAAAAGAAAAAGTTTACCTGTAATTTAGTTAACTCAATTACTGTGATTGTAACTACATTTAATACCATATGAGATGATAACATTTCCGGTACGTAACGAGCTGTTACAACTAATATCCAAACCAAATCATAAAAGAAACGGAGAAGAAGAGATAAGTGGGATATTCTTTGTATTTTCAAATGTGAACAATGAATTGATTTACATGAATGGAAGATTGACTCAACCCCCAAAAAACTATAGGATAAGCATCTAAGCATTTGAGGGGCACGGAAAAAATGATTTAGCATAAGCTAACCCACCCGAAGAATTGGCCAAGAAAAATCAAAATGAAAAAAATAAAAATTGGTTGGGTTAGCTCCTTTATGACCTTTATCCTTATATATTTTGTACTAATGGTCCAAATTTAAAGGCTAAAGCTAAAGTAGTGCCTATGCAGCTCGAACATTAAGCCACGTAAGGTCCACAGACCCTAAAAAGGAGAAACATGTACCCTTGGGCTATGATGTCCCATGTTTACAAGCCCAGGTGACACATGAACTTTTGGACTAGGCCTCGGAGAGGGAATGGGTGGTTTGCCTGTAAATGTTCCACGGTTGACAACTCTAGGTGATAGATTGAGAAGCTCAAGTGCCTGAAGTTGGAATTTTGTAGGGTACTCTCTCACACAACCAATCCTAGGACCAACTCCAGTTGTCCACTTGCTTGACATTGGCTTACTCTCTTTAAGTGAAGCTTCCACATTGCTACCAAAGTGACCCATATTTTTTTTACCATAGTTATTGGCAGTGGCAGAGTCACTTGAACCCACATTACCTTCTATGTACTCAAACTGCATCTCCTCATCGACAGGTTTAGAAGGTGGAACATCATCATCCACTGGATATTTCTGTAGGAGGCAACAATGAAATTATTACCAAAAGGTTCAAGAAAAGTTCAACAAGTAGAATGCTTGGTGATTTTAACGTGATTCACCTTTACATTTGTCATATCCACATTATGTTCCTCCAAGAAGCAAATGAATTCCATAAAATTCTTCTCTGTTGGACGGTAATGACCACTATAGGGCCATATAACCTGAATAAGATGCAAATGAAGATCAATTCACTTATAAAGGAAATGAAAATAGAATTTTTTTTATTTTTATCATATCCTAAAACTTATCAATGTTGTATATGTATAAGACATGTAGCATACATCAAGAACTCCATTATGGGCAACCAATCTTCCGGATGCAATGGTAGCACCACCAGCTAGAAAACTGGAGTGCTGAAATTGGCCTTTCTTCTTCTGCCCAATGTACAAAGTTCTAGATGAGCTAAGAACAAAAATCCACTTGGACCCCTCAGTAGTGTGTACAAGGTCCTTGCTTTGTCTATAAATAAGCCTTCCCCCCTCCACAATCACTTCATATGCTTCCCTCTCTTTCTGCAATTTGCAAGCAACAAAGTTGAAACTCTTAATATAAAGACAACTTTGTTGACTTTGCTAAACTTTTATAAAGCGTAAGATAAAGTCGTTTGCTGAAAAATAATATTCATAACAAACTCAAAGTCTATAGTTCCATGAATACACTGATACCAATACCATAATAAGACATGTTATTATAAATATTATTATACGTGGCATTGCCAATGCCATGATGTGAAACAACTTACGGGTCCAAGATACTTTATGCGCTGCCTCTGCAATTCCCTTCTTGGACTTGTCTCAAGATTTACTTCTTTTCCATCTCCAACATCCAACCTTTCATATTACCAAAGTAAAATTGAGAAATTAGAAAACTTAACAGGAATCCATACAAGCAGTTGCACTGTTAATAATTTACCAGTAGAAAAAAGGCTGAGGACTCTGGCTATGAAACCAGACATCATAGTAGAAATGCAAGTTGTGCCCATAACGATGGCGTGGATCAATCTACAAAATATAAGGAAACCATAACCTCGATTAATTGACTTCTTTGGATTATAAGAAAACATGTGACCAAACCAATAAATAAAAAAAGATAATATCTTTGGAATATAAATAACTCATGTAAGTCAAAATGTAGACGTATGAGCTTACAGCTTCAAGCCAATGCCTTAGAGCTAATTTCTGCGCCTTATCATCCTTGGACAAAACTTTTCCCACCTACCAACAGAAAAAAGAAGAAGTATATTGATTGGTATTCAACAAAATCAAGGAAGAAGTTTTGTCAGAAAAAGAGAATGAAAACTTTGAATTCGTCACTATGGTCCTAGTCAAATTATGTAAAGCTCATTATCATCGGGCAATGAACATGGTTTAAAAGAAGACTAATATGGACCCAAATATTGAAGCAAAGGACATACAAAAATCTTCCTTAGTCAAAGTCAATTAAAGTTTCCAGCTTCTAATAATAAAGGGTACCTCAGCAGCCAACATCCTAGCTCTTGCCCATTTTGAAATAGCTGTATCGGATTTATCAGTCTCAAAATATGATGTAGAGAACCTGTTAAAAGTAGTCAACACTGAAGCCTTCCACCTGAACCATAGAAGAAAACAGTGGTTTTGAATGTACACTAAGCACTAATCACTGAACTATTATCGTTCAGAAGCTTTCTTAGCCATTTATATATATATATATATATATATATATATATATATGTATATAAAGACGATCATAAACTTGGATAGTGAACAAACCATAGCTCCTCGCAAACAACTGCACAATCTGCTAGATTTCTTCTAGTCCTGTAACTCTTGTAAACTTTCTGTAGCTTTACCGCAGCTGCATCAAGCTCTGCAAAGGACTTTGGAGAAAACATTGGTTCTAGTTTTGGTAACAAAACTGTGCGCTTTAGTCTATTGAACAAGTCCTCAAGTTCCTGTTTTGAAGCAGAATTCTCTGAAACTAGGCATTTGAATGAGAATGTAGTTTGGAGCTTCAAATTTCCCACCTTCCTTCTCTTCCAGCTTGTAGATTCTTCAGTAGTAACATCATCTAACTGATCAGGCTTATAGAAATCATTGAAATTTATTTCTTTCTTGAAGCTCATTATGCTTACTGTGATCTCTCTTTCCTTGTTTATCGCTAAGATTCCCATTCCTATGCAAAAATTTGGAACATTATTAGCCATTTAATGCATCAACTTGCTCAATGTACATTGAAAGCCTTGAGACTATGATATAGGAAAACCTTGAAAATATCTTTTAGTTGCAACAATATTAATGAGCCAGACGAGTCATTTTAAGCATTTCAAAACTGAAAATAGAGATTACATGAGATAGCTCGAAATAGTAGTAGCCAAAAACATATACATAAGCTACATAATAGAAACTTAAAAGAGATTTTAGAAGGGTGAGACAGAGCTCACCTTGAAGTACAAAATCAGCTTCTTTATAGTGTCATCTTTACACCTGAGGTTAGTCTTTGTAATGGCACTTCCCAACCTCCTTTATACTCCACAAGTTTGGAAGAGATATTAAATAGCTTCAAATACGTAAAAAAAACAAGCTACTAGGATTAGTCTAGTGGCGAGGAATTTGAGTAGATTGTAGTAAGTTATGTGTTCAATTCTCACTTGTATCCAAAAAAACATAGATTATAGAAAATGGAGACCTTTAGAATTTGGCTACCAATGAACCCGTTTGGTTTGAATAGAAAATTAAGAGGAGAAGTTGTGTGACTTGTACGTCCCATTTTGAATATAGAAAAAAAAAATTGAAAACGATGCAGCGACTTACAGAACCCACGAGGGGTTTGAATGGAAGGGTTCAAATATTCACACATTATACTTATATGTGAGTGAATGCCTCATATGTGTAAACATGGTTTTGTAACATTTATTGAAGCAAAAAGTGTGTGGAGGATGTAAAAAGGTTAGGCTACACGCCAACGTGGGAAAGAAAGAGAATCAGTCCAAAGCTAATAACTTTTGGCCTTTATTTCACAAACTTTAATGGGTCGTAATCATGCTTTTAACAAATTTAGATTTAGTCATTTAGATTAGATAGAAAGATCGAACAATGGAGAGGGAGCAGGGTGAATTCCCATCCATTACGTGAAAGGCGTTAATGGACTAGACCAACATACATACGAACTAATTTATATCAGGTCAGGTTTGACTTATTATATATAGTTAAATAGAATATACTAGACTTTTAAAAAAATCTAATTAAAAAATAGACCATAAATTTTTTTTACATGCTGGACGTTTAAGTCTATAGGCCGACCTGTATCATATTATTTATTTTAAATAAAATAAATAAATTTGTTATTTTAATGATTTTGAATATTGAAGAAATATTATTTTAATTACTTTTTTAATTATTGAATATTTAATAGGCTTAAACAAACTAATAGGCCTATGCCAATACTTTTATTTTTTAAATATATGTCAAGTCAGACTTATAATTAAGACTTATATAAGACTATCAGGTCAGGTCATGCTTAAAATATTTTATATAGATATGGTCTATTTAAGTCAAAGACTAACTTAGCCTAAGTTATTTAATGGTAAATAATAGTTAGTACGATATTAATATTTGCACCCTAAATATGGAAAAGTTCTTTTTCTTCTTTCCACAAGATTCTTATTGTGCAAAATGCAAATCTATTGAGAAGTGATATATAAGAGAAAAAATGTGAGAATAAAAGGATCAGACGACAGACCCATTCTATAATATTTTATAAAGATTTAATATTGATCCGTTATCAATATTAAATTAAGGGAAATAATTTTCTCATTTTATATTAATTTTTTTTTTCATGCTACACTCACGATATATGAGTGGCTCTCATCTTGACTTTTTTGTCTTCTCACCTTTTTGTGGACCCCACTCATGTATTGTGAGTGTAGCAAGAGAAAATTTTCTCATGTAAAATGAAAAAATTAATTCCGTTAAATTAATACTATTTTAAAAAGTCGGGTAATTAATACTATTTTAAAGAAGAAATCAAAGTATCAAACTATGTGTTTCCTTGGACCGAAGCAAGGTACAAGTACAACACATAATCTTCAACACGCTTTCAACTCTTTTTGCCATGAACTGTTTTGCAACTGCTAATCAAAGGACCACCCTAAACAGTAAACACAACTAGGATAGTAGCCTTTATTTTCAGTCCATATAATTTTGGGCTCCTGAAATGGGGAGAGGGCATTGGAAGGCCCCAATGTAATTTTTCAGGCCTCAAAATCAAAACAAACAGTGTCCCAGTGGCTACTCCATTTAAAATTTCTCTAAACTATTTCTTCTTCAATGAAAGTTCAGAGGTACATACATCCCTTCATAAGATTTGTTACATTTTTTGTTTTAATTTTTTAATCTTCCAAAATGATTTCTCTTGGTAATTATAGTTGTTTCCATTAAGATTTTTAAAATTGATTGCTGCTTTAAAAATCAAGTCTAACGAAAATGAATCAAAGATAGGTTTTGCCACAAATAAAACTAGGGGTTTGCATCTACCATATCACATGACACAAAAAAAATTTCTACACACACAACATTTTGTGGGGCCCACACTTTTTGAAGCAAAAAAAAAATAATTAAGGCACGCAAAACAAATCTCTATAACATTACAGAATCACTTTTCCTTCAACATAATTCTTATAAAATCCATAAAACTAATTATAAAACGTGACCCTAATAAGAACCTTAATAAAAATGAGACTCAATATTTTATTTTTTAAAAAAAGTCTTATAGTTGTGCTTGAAAACTAAAAGGCCACTTTTTTGTATATATATATTTTTTTAAAGAAAGAAGTGTTTTTTCAATTAAAAAATATATCTAGAAGATAATTAGATAATTTTTTTTGAAAAAATTAAATTCAGAAACAAAATTTATTTCTTTAATGAATAAAAAAAAAAATTAGATTACCAAAAAAAAAAAAAAAATTAAAAAACTGGTCCACAAGTAATAATAGAACCGAAGGCAAAAGTGGGAGTTTAGATATTTACCTTTGTAGTCCTCAAGCGTGATAACTTGGAGATGAAAACTTCAGATGATGAAAACAAAGCGCTCAATGTGTATGAATGGGTGAAATAGAACCTTGAGGCCGTAGTTGAGGCAATTCATCCGAAGAAAATAATCTGACAGTCATGAGTGGGAAGTGGGGTTTAACTTTACTTTCAGGGTATTAAGCATGATTTTTTTTTTTTTTTTTTTTTTTTGGATTCAATTAATTACTTATTTGAATACTGGGTCTTTTTTTATTCTTGGGAAAACTATATAATAACATAGCTAAGACAATTTCCTAGGATGACTTCTGATCAATGATCACTAACAGATTTACAACAAACTAGAATTTCTCTAATCGGTTGTGTTTATGTTGAATGGTCAGAAGTACTATGACAGCACAGAGGACATTGGTAACTTGTTCTATGAATGTCACCAAATGAAGCACTCTGGCTGTGCCTGTGCCTGCTTCAGGTGGTTACATTTATAATAGCACGAAATATGTGTTTGTCAAGTTGCAATTTTACTAGGATTTACTCCATCTTTGTCATTAGTTTGTAATAAATTTGTGAGTTTAATTAACGCTATGATAAGATGTATCATCAGATAATAAGAGAGATGAACCGAAATGTGGCTCTTGCTTTTTACAACTGGCCATACGTGACATCAATAGATGACCCCCTGCATGCTGGAATATTTGTGATTGTGATTCAGATGAACCAAAATGGCTCTTGCTTCTTGGAAATGGCCACATGTGACGGTGACCCCTGAATGCTGGAATATTTGAATTAAACTTATCTAACACGCAATGCACAAAGAATAGGTGGAGCAGCGACAATTGATATCACAAGTTAAGGAATAAGGATTGTAGTGCCTCAAGTTATCTGTCATTGGTTGGTGCAAAAGAAGGTTTGCATGCTTTGCCTTGAGATCTGATGTATAATAGGGGTGGCGTTTATAATACTTATAAAAGAAAATTGGGGTTATTCATGCTCAACGCATTGAGAGCCATTGATTTGGGGGAGTCTTCTATCAATGGCTGAAAATAAGAGATTGATGGAAAACGAAATAAAGACTATTGTTAAGCAACAAAACCATATTTTAAGGTTTTACAAATAAATAATAATACAGTGAATAAAAAAATAATCAAATTTAAGTCAACCGAAGGTAACCTGATATCTTAGATAATTTTAGTTAAGTATTAATGCACCCAATATTTTTATGAGCAGTGTAAACTTCACTTATAACAGGGCAATAGGCTTAGTTGAGTGCTCCACCGACCAAGTATCAGTGTTACTGTCTATAAGGTTTTGCAACCAAGGTCACCAAAGCAGGGAAGTGATTCTATTTATTATTTAACTGGAAATTCACATAATCCTAGTACGGACGTATTTACATATGTTGAACAATGTCAACGTGGATCATTTTATAATATTTTCTTGCTTTCTTTCGTTAGTGTTTCTACCTGACCCTTTCACCAATAAATATTTTGCTTTTTGTTTAGGAATCCAATGTTTATATAAAATAGGTGCACTTGTGATTTGCCTAAGCGTACCCCTAATTGTCTTTTAACATGAATGATGGATGACCTATTCATATCATTTTGACTAACCTTTCTATAACATTTCCTAGCTTATAAGCTGTCCATATTAATATTGTTAATGCTTATTCTCACACATACTGAATTGGCCAGTGTCTATTTAGAGTACAAGAACGCTCCCTTTCTAATTCCTAAAAAAACTCAGCAGAAACAACGAAAGATAAGAGTACTAAATGGCAACTTTAAGCATAGCGAACTGAACCCTCTTATGTTTATAAATCTCTAGTGCACATGCTTTTATTGCTGGTCTTTCAAACTCATAATTAATTGAAATGAATTTTACTTCTAGACCTAATGTATTTTTAAATCAGACTTGAATTATATTTTGAGTTGTTTTTAATGTCATCACATATAAAATTCCCCCCCGGTACATTTCAAGCTTGAAGCATAAACAATAAATACTGTAACTAGAATCTGTTCTTCATTGAATGTGGGAAAATATGCAGCAGGAGATTAGGGACACCAAAATTCAATGCTATCAACGAAATGAATGGCCGAGATTGGATATTGGTGAGGGGACTTGTCTGCTACCTAACAACCAACCCGTAGAAAGTTGACCATAGTATCACATTAAATCCATTTAACTAACTCATTAAATTTATTTTCGTGCAGATCTGAATGTCTCAGATGCTGATGCTTTTTTTTCCACATCATAGAACTGGCACTGTGCATTTGATTTCTTTTTTCCACATATGGAAATGAAAGCAAAAATAAAAGACAAAGGCTCTGCAGTCTATGTGTTCAAAAGTTATAATTTTTAAATCAGAAATATCAGATAATTATGAGGGTCTTGCAGGCGTTTCAGACCCAAAATGGGTGCTGTTATTCTGGACTTATGGATCACCATATATAGTACTAGTATACCCTTTTAGATTGATTTGAGAGAGAGAGAGAGAGAGAGAGAGAGATGAGAGAGAGATGAGAGAGAGGTTTGGCTTGTATTGAAAGGTAAGCAATCGAAGGTTAGAGGCAGAAAGACAGTGGAAAACAGACTACTCTTAGGAGTTACCGAATGAGTTGTCAAATGAAGTTGAAACTTGCTGGAGTTGTTAAATGTGTGACAAGAAACCAGAATCACTTGCTTGTGAAGCAAAATCTCTTGGCTGATTCAAAGGTTGTAAAGAGTAACCCAATAAACATTGGAGGTCCTGCAATGTTTTTTGGGAATTGCAAGCTCGTTTAGTAGCCTTTCTTTTCCCTTCTTATATTCCAGCATTTGGCCCTTGCCTCTTGTTGTGAAGGGAAGATTCACATCATCGTCATCATCACATTCATCATTTGTGTCTTTTTTTTTTTTGAAAAAAATGAAGGGAACATTATTCTGTTTTGTGCTAGCTTTACAAATATTGAGTTGGGTTTCTGTAGCAAGGAGAGGGCCCTTTCCTCCAAATGATGGCATGTTCCATCCAGGTTAGTTAACCTACACACAATTTTTGAAGATTGACTTCTCTTTATTACCTTCTAAACCCCTACTTTTCCTTGTAATTATGTGTTCATCACACCTTAGCTTTCAACTATTCTGTCAGTCCATTTCCTCATTAGAAAAGGGAGGGCACAGTCTTAACTTTAAGTTCAACAATTAGCAATTATCTTTAAATATTTTCAACATTTATCCTATAAAATGGCTTCACTTTCAAAACCCTTTGAGCCTTTTCACTTTTCAGTCAACATTGCTCTTAGACTATTGACTACTAAGTTATATTAATTATCTTATTGTTTCTACAATATTGTTATTTATGCTTCATCAGGCCCAAAAGAGGCACCAGCACCTGAGTCTTCACCACCGAATACTATACATTCAGAAAAGGTGTGTCTTTATCTCATTTTGTAAATTTGGAGCTAGGTGGGTTTCTCTGGTATCCTAGTTAACATACTAACCTACCGTGTCTGTTAATTTTCCCAACTTTGTTAAAGGGTTTAATGGTGAGAGAAGGTAAGTCAGAGATAATGGAAGAAACATATGATAGAGGAGTAAGCAAAATAGGGTCAAGTCCACCAAGCTGTGAGCACAAATGTTATGGTTGCACACCATGTGAAGCCATTCAAGTGCCAAGCACAAGCAGCAGGCGCAATCATTTGGGTATCCAGTACGCAAATTATGAGCCTGAGAGCTGGAAATGCAAGTGTGGTCCTTCCTTCTACAGCCCTTGAATTTTGTTCCTACCCATTGGATATAGTTGATCTGCTATCTGTCTCTTAGGTTCATATTTATTGTCCCATTTGTACAAAAACTCAAAATTCAAAGGATTTTAGTAACTCATTCTTGTGACTTCCATATTGCTAAATGCCACACTTTTCTCTATACATTATTATGCTTCATCTTTCAACTATTTGAAAGGAATTATAAATTTTGAGACACTTTTGAATTCAGAACTCGTGTTAAGCCGTGCACTTGTAAATTCAAACACGTATTCCTTTTATTTTCATGAATTTTGACTATTTGTAGTATAATAGCCCTAACCTAATTAATTAGCAAATTACATGAAATTAAATAATTAAGCATGTTTTAGTGAGTAAAATTAAGTATAAGGCTTAATTAAATGGATCTGAGTCACTTTGGAGTTAAAAAGTGTACTTAGTGAAAATTAAGGGGTATAAATGGGTACTGGCAAAAGTGTCCAAAATATAAAAATAAAAGTGGAAATATTCCTAGAATAATATTCCAGACTTTTGGGTGAAGTTTGGTAATTATTGGAGTTAAATAGATAGAGGAACCAATACTTGCTTAAAGTCACTTAACCTATGTTAAGTGACTAAAACACAAAAGAGCCCCAAACCCTCCCATTCCCGTCGACGCCAGAAACAGAAGAGAAGAAAGAAAGAAGAGGAAAAAAGAGAGGGAGAGGGAGAGAGAACCTAGAGGGAGCAAATCCCAACCGATTGGAGTGATTCAAAAGCCTAAACCACTCTAAATCTTCCCCTCTTTCATAATCCAAGCTTAGTTTTGAGTGGGGAGCATTGTGGAGAGGGATATTGGCTCTCAAAAATTCGGCCCTTTGGTGAAATTTGGGGTTTTGAGGGCTTCAACCTCCATTGAAGCTTGAGGAGCCATCAATCTTTGGTTGTGCAACCATTGGTGGTAAGATTCTACCCCTTGAACCTTATTTTCATGGAAAATTGCATGAGTTAGGGTTCAATGAATAGTAAATTGGGGTTTTGATGAAATGTTGTTAAATTAGCTATGTTCTAGGAAGAATGGAGCTTAGAGCATGTTGAGAAAAATGCTAGGAATGTCATTTAATCGGTAAAAATGAGCTTAGATAGCTAAATGAGTATATTTGGAAAATGGCAAGAATATGACACTTAGATATTGGATTTCTTGCATTGTTGATAAATGGTTTGGTTTGGTTGGTTGTTGATTATGCCTTGGTGTTGTCTAGGATTGAGGCAATTGGACCAACCTTGAGAGACCAACCGTTGGAGCAAGCTATGGAGCTTGATTAGCTCCATTGGATAGGTAAGTTCATGCTTATGTTTGGTATGAATTGTATAGCTAGGTTGATAGCTATGAGATGTTATTGGATGCAATATGTGTTAATTGCATTAAACCTTGTGTGTAGGTTTTGTTTGAGAAGTGAAGTATTGTAATTGACTGACTGTGGAACCTGTTGGTGGTGAACAAAGGGTGACTGAAGCATTGAGGTAAGCCTTCAGACCTTGGGTGTAATTCCCTTGACTGTTCCACCAAGCCCTGAAAGGGTGGAGGTTGTGATTGTGTATATAAATGCAATAAAATAGTGTAATGCTTTGTTATACGTATGTGTATGCATTTGGTGTGGCATAGGATGGTGTTTCCCTATGTTGGTATGTTGCATGACGATGCGTAAATCATACTTGGTAGTTAGCTTGCCAGTAGGACTATTTGCATCTGAGTTTCCTTAGGACAGCTTGAGAGCTCGAGGGATTTCTCCTGGAGATGTTATTGCACTTTGCATAGATATGTATTTACTGCATTATTATTGTTATTGCTATTACACTGATATGGAACTGTGGGGTGGAGAGATGCTCCAAGGACCCCTGGTTTACTGGATATATTCGTATATCTCACCCCGTGTTGTGGGGACCCTCTTTCAGGTAAGGATGCTGCAGGAGCCTCTGGTGGCAAGTGGCCATATCTGGATTAGCATATGCATGAAGTGTTGCATTTTTTGAGATTATACATGTTGTTTTGTAGCTCACATGTATAGAATTGTAATTAATAGGCAATGATAGATTGATGAATTGTATATTGGAATGGACTTAGCCTATGCTCATGCCTTTGGTCATCTCTTTTGTTGATGGAGCCAAGGGAATGATCATAGTGTTTTGTAAGCTAAGTTCCATGATTTGTAATGAATATGTACTGTAAATGATGCCTACTTGAAATTCAATATATGCATGCTTGTTATGTATTGAGTTATGGAATTGGTTGGGCTGAGAATCAATTAGGTACCTTTTGTTTAAATTGGGAAACGTTGAGAAAACAAAGGTTATGCTGCCCAAATTCTAGCTAAATCTCATGAGGAGAGGTTGGGTGAGTGCTAGGACTAAGTTTGAGGTATGAACCATTGGAGTTTGGAAGGGGGATGCATCTTCCCCTAGACTTGGACTTGAAAAATGTGGGAATTGGAATCCCCTGGCAGCGCGCTTAAGCGCCCAGGAGCGCGCTCAAGCGCCCTGCTGCCCCTGTGAGTGCCAATGCATTCGGCCTCCTCGCGTTGGAGCGCCCTTTGTGGGGGCTTAAGCGCCCAAGGTTGCGCGCTTGAGCGCCCTGGTTCGCGCTTGAGCGCCCTTAGCCGCTGAAGGAGGAGATGCTTCTGCCTCTGCGCGCTGAAATGTCCCAAATGGGGGCTTAAGCGCCCAGGATAGCGCGCTTGAGCGCCCTGGTGCGCGCTTAAGCGCCTATTTATCTGAAAAACTTGATGCTTCCTGCCTCCGTGCGCTTAAGCGCCCAGATGGAGGCTTTAGCGCCCGGTAGCGCGCTGAAGCGCGCGGGGCCTGTGATCAACACCCTTTTGTGTTGCTTCCAATTGTCATAACTTGAGCTACAGTGCTCCGATTTGAGCGTGGTTTGAAGCCACGTGTAGCTAACGAAGAGATCTACAATATAGTAGAGGTTGTGAAATAAATAAGAAGTAAATTAAGGGTTTTAAGAATGGAATAAGAACATGATGTTAAGCTTGATTTATCTGATTCCGCAAGGTAATATGGTTATGATCACGAAATTGGGCATTATAAATTCGGCATATTTTAAAATGAAAAATTTATCCGGATTTTAATTGAACCCATGTGATTGTAACTGCGCTTAATATCATAATGCGATGTTAACAAACCGGTTCTAGAACGGGGTGTTACATGTAATAATAATAATAATAATCATTTCTGTCATCATGCTTAACCAAGTTATCCTCAAGTTAACAACTCATTAGACATAAGATCTTTTTGAAAACTGGGAAAGACAAAATAAAAAGAAAATAGACATATATTCCATCAGCATGCTTGTCGCAAAAAACGAAGTTACATGCGAAAGGTCTGGTCCATGTCGTTTGCTTGACCTCAACTAATTTATCTTTGTTTTATAGATTAGACCAAGTTAATAAATTTAACTAATAAATTTAAGGGTTATATTTATCTCATTTAATATGAGATAACCCATCTTCCTACACACATAACAAAGGTGGGTGGATCTCACTTTTTTTCTCTCTCTCTCTCTCTTCAATAATTTGTGGACCTCTCTTATTATTTTGTTACTTAACATAAAATAAATTATCTACATAAGATTTTCCCAAATTTAATCCAAAAATTTAATTTGTTAGTAAAGGGATATTGTTTGGTATGAACATTAAAGGGTTCGTCTCTTGTGTGTAATTTGTCCTCCTTAACTTGATTAGCATCCTTATATATAGTCTTGTTAACGGTTATAATCATAGTAGGTAGTTAACAGTGGTGTCATTACTAAGATTATGGTATGGTCCACAAGTGCCACTGAAACATGGGCTTGGGCCATCTTCTGGGCTCCTAATATGGTTTTTGATTATAGCTATTAATGCTAAGACGATTGACCTTATATGTGCATGAGCCTTAGTTTTGTGACCTCCTATGGTCATGGGCCTCAAATATTCTTAACTAGGCCCATGTTACGAACCCGAAAAAGATATTAATGATTTTATATTCAATACAAATTCGTTACAATTTGTAATCTTTAAAAAACACACACATATGGGGCATGCATAAGGGTGTCAAAACGGGTTGACATGACACGAATACATCAACACGAATATGATATGAATTTTTTGCATGTCATTTTTTCTAACACGAACACGACACGATTTTTTTTTGCTGGTCAACCCTAACATGAATTTTCACATCGTGTCGCGGGTCGACCCGCGTGTCATAACCTATATTGACACCCCTAGGCACGCATAGATAAATCAGAGATCGTTAGCTTTTCTTTTTATTTTATTTTTTTTATTTTTTTGAAATACCAAGTCATAGACAAAATACACAAACTCATCCCATTTTGAGACGAATTGGCAGGTTGAAAAATAAAATAATAGAAAAAAATAAGTATATTCAATGATAATTTTTTATTTATAATCTCTAACATCTAAATATTTCTCAAATTTGAAACAAATGTCAAGTAATAAGCCAATGAGAAAAGAATGATTTAAGTTATTAATTTCATTTAACATAGTTACAAAAGCAAAGATTTAAGATTAAATAATAATTCTAATGTTATTATATTGCAAAAGAATAAAAATGTAAATATACACAATGAACACATTATTGCATCATGTAACTAAAATTTCATAAGTATCTAATTTAATCTGTATAAATATTAGCATTAAAATTCAAAGACAGGCTCAAGTTTCTTTATTTCTTTCGTTAATATATTTTTCTGCCAAATAAAAAATAAATAAAAAATAACCTCCCCTATGAAACAATAGAAATATGGCCCTAAAAGGAATTTTTTTATCCCAATTAATAGCCTATTAAAGCAATCTAACCAAGCCATCATCTAATATTTAATATTAAAAAATTAAAAATTAAAATATTCGCAAATTGACCTATCCCACCCCTAATCCGCTTTAAATGACATATACGCCGGACATGTTACATTGAATTGACAGGTTACAACCCGCCCCGCCCAGCGTATTGATGTGCCTCTAGCAAGTGTGTTTTTCTGTGTTAAAATTGATAAGAATTGAGTCATAAGAGAGTAATTTAAATG